TGGAACAACATCGTCTTCGTCCATGGCTCGTTCTTCCCCCATAGTTGAGTTCCCCCAAAAAAAAAAAACGAACCAGTAAACTCAGATCCGGAGCTCCGGAAGGGGGTGATGACGGAAAGCCTTGCAGAGGCAATAGAGGTGAGATAGCCGACGACCAGGAATTCTAGTAGCAAGAGCAGAAATAAGGCTTTCTTGTTTACCAAACCCGCCTCCAGATCTGAACCATTTGCGTTTGAGATCCAAACCGCAACAAGAAATCATATAGTTTTTGCTGTTGTTTTCTGAAGATACCAAACCATCTAAAACCCTAAATCCATAGACGTAAGGGCTAAGGAAAAGAATTCAGATTATTTCAAGTTGCAGAGAGGGACATTGGGGTTTACAGGAATATATGCAAGCTTGACGAACATTTTAATGGGAAGTGCTTGTGTGTTTGTTGGGTGTTTATGAAGGGATAATCTTACCTGCAAGTTTCCTTAAAAAATTGAGAGAGAGAGAGAGAGAGATATTTTATTTTTGTTTCATTTTTAATTGTTTTATACAATGTTGTAATAAAAGAAAATTGAAAAATAAAATAATAAAGGGCAAATCCATCATTATAGAAAGTTTTAAAAATTTTGGACCAAACTCGCAACAAAATGAAAACTTTGGACCTCTGGTGCTAGTCCAAATCTTTTTGGACCAAAATGACAATTTTCGACATACCACAGGGACCATTTGTCCAGTTTAGTCTTTATTTTTCTCCCAAAAACTTATGTTAATTTGTCAATAAATCCGATGCAAATACTAAATTTGCAAGTACAGTTAAACGCTTATGACAAATTTATGTTTAGTTTCTCTTAACATTTAATAGAAACTAAAAGGAACAGATTAATTTGACTATCAAAGTTCAAATCTTGTGCGAAATATTTAATAAATTATCAATAAAAAAAATAAATTAACTTACTACATTTTTTAAGTTTAATTCATCTTGAATATGAGAAAATTATGTAAATATTACAGTGTTATAATAATTTAATTTATTTTTTAATCATAAACGTTTAATGGACGTGTGTTTACATATCGACATGTATGCATGTTTAACGTATGTTTACAAATATCCACTCTAATAAATGAAATTTTTTTTTGCCACATGTCACACTATCATTCAATTTGTCAAATATCATTTTGTGGTTATTTTTAATTAATTTATTTTCCACATGTCATTTTATGGGTTTATCTATTTTAATAAATTCCACATAATATTTTAATGTAATAATTACAATAAATGTAGTAATAAATGAATATCAATTTTATTAATGGATTACCTTTTTATTTCAAAATTCTCAAATTAAAGCTCATTAGTTTATTTTGTTTATTTATTTAAATTTAAAAGATAAAAAAAAATCAATTTTAATAATTCATTATGTTTCATATATTTCTTATAAATCCAAAGCTCTTAAATATTTGGACCTTTATATTTAATTTTTTTAATTAACCTATATAATATATGGGTCTTACTATTATATAAATATATATATATATATATATATATATATATATATATATATATATATATATATTATTGTGTTCTTTCTATTTTCTAATTTGATTTACAGCTATATTTCATAAATTCTCGTCACATTAATTAACTTTTATTTATTTTACATTTGGTTTGGGGTATATATAAGGTTAAGGAGGTAATTAAATATTCTTTCAACTTTCTGTTGCTTTTCATTCATTTTCTTCTTATAATAATGTATATATAATAATTTATAATGTATATATAATAATGACATATTAATTATTTGTTTTAACCTTTTTTTTTTCAATTTGACACTTGTTTTAATCTATATACTAGAATAACAAAAAGGCAAAATGATATTTGATTTCTCAATTGTAATCTCGTCATTATTATACAATTGTTTTATAGGGTAATGGATCGACAGTTTGACAACAACACTACTTGAATTTCTTCAATTCATTCGCCTAAGAAAGCAAGCGCCACATGGAATATTATGAGCTGATGGGGTATGTTTTACTTTTATTCATATGCATTCAATGGGTTAAACATTGTCACCGCATACGCTTGGATGAGCTCCGGTGGCTACCACCAGGACCAACACCATGGCCAATAGTCGGAAACATATTCCAACTGGGCTTTGTAAAGATACCCCACGAGTCGTTTGTCCAACTGGCTCATATTCATGGCCCCAACATCATGACCCTTTGGCTAGGCTCTATGTGTACGGTGGTCATCTCCTCAAATGAGGCTGCTCGTGAGATGTTCAAGAACCATGATGTGGTGCTCGCTGGTCGAAAGGTCTATGAGTGCATGAAAGGAGAATTTGGAGACGAAATAGGTTCCATGATAACTGCACAATATGGGCCAAATTGGCGACTATTGAGAAGGCTTAGTACCACTGAGTTTTTCTTGAACAACCGCCTAGACGCCACAAGTGGCATCCGTAGTAGATGTATCAATAAAATGGTGAAGTCTATATACGATGTTAGTGGTAATGATGGCACTAGCATTGATGTTGGTAGGTATTTTTTTTTGATGGCATTTAATTTGATTGGGAATTTAATGTTCTCGAAGGATCTTTTGGATTTAAATTCAAAGAGAGGGGCAAAGTTCTTTTACCATGCAGGGAAAGTAATGGAATACGGTGGAAAACCTAACATGGCCGATTTTATTCCATGTTTAAAGTGGCTTGATCCACAAGGCATCAGGAAAAACATGCAATATCATGTACGTGAAGCGTTTCGTATAGCTGGAGGATTCATCAAAGAACGAATGGACGAGCAAGAAGAGAGTGCTGATAAAAGAAGAAATGATTACTTGGATGTGCTCTTGGAGTATCGTGGTGATGGTGTTGAAGGACCCTCTATGTTCTCTTCTACAACCATCAATATAGTCGTGTTTGTAAGTCTTTCGAAAAGTTCACATCCTTTATGATAATTCTACAATCATCCTTAAGTACTAAAAGTGTTAGTGAATCTATGAATATCACCGAAATAATTCATAAATTGATTATAATTTCATTTGGAGTGAGGTTGATGTAATTAAATATATGATCTTATCTTAAAAATTGTAAATTTGTCTATCATTAGAAAATTTGATCATGATTTAACGATCTAAGTCGTATCTAGTGCAAAATGAACGAAATTAGTAATGAAAATTAGATGTTATGTATGAGTAATACCATTAGTTTCTATAGCAGAATGAAATTTAGTCTCACATATTGTAACATTTGTATAACTGGAGTTAAGGTGCCAAAAGTCAATTCATAAATATAGCATCACATTACTTAAAATGAGGCTTATACTTGAAAAAGGGTTGCACTCTTGATATAAGAAAACAAGCTAAAATGTTTTCCGTATTGTGTATTTGAGAGCTAAAAATGATTTCATAGGCTATTAGGAGTAAATAAAAGGAGCTGTTTTTAATGGCAAAAAGCTGCATATTGAAGGTAAAGTGTTGTAGATCGGAGGGAATAGGGAAAAAATGCTGCACATATAGAATACAGACAACACTATTGAAAACTGGTTGTGTTGCCCATCTAGAAAAGTTATTGCTTTAGGCCTCCATTTTGTAGATAACTGTTGCATTACCTTCATTTTGTTGTAGGGCAAGCTTTGGCCGTTTTTATGTCAGTAATTTTGTGCAAATGAAATGACTAATGGGTGTCTTGCCTACTGAATAGATAAACCAAAGTAGCACAATGAAATGAAGAAAAGTAACTTACGTTTATAACGTAACTTGGCATGGGTGTTAAAATAAATATTTAACTATCTAAAGACAACATGTGTATATAATGGTCACCATGGGACTAATAGAGGAAAACAATTGCTAAAAAGTTTAATTTTTGTTTAAATAATTTACATAATCATTTTTTGAACAACCTTTTTAAAGAATCACCGCTTTTTTTTTTTTTTTTTTTTTTCAAGTTGGTAAATGGATCACATGAATTAAGTTTTAGTCGAAGATTACTATAAACAACATCCCGAATTCCTTGCTTACACAATTCAATTTGGGTTTCCTTGATTTTAACATAACTAACTTGCTTTTGATAAAATATAACTATTCTAATACAAGGTCACCATTTTAAAGACCCAAACCATCAAATAACATTACAACAAACTACATATCTTCTTGTTACCATATAATTTGTTTTTTTAAACCTAACTTAATTAATTCCATTAACTTTGGTTGTTTCAGTTGTATTTTCTTGAAACATTTTATTTGAAACCGACCCTTGTATCCAACTATGCAACAGGAAATGTTCACTGCAGGAACTGACACGACAACAAGCACATTAGAATGGGCAATGGCCGAACTCCTCCACAATCCTGTCATTTACCAAAAGCTAAGAACTGAATTGAGAAGCACCATTCCCCTAAATGAAAATCTTGAAGAAAAGCACATCGATAATATGCCTTACCTCAAAGCTGTGATTAAGGAGACATTAAGGCTTCACCCCACCCCTCCCATTCTTAGTCCCGCACATGGCCATGCAATCATGCCAGATGCTAGGGTACACCATTCCAAAGGAAACACAAGTGCTAGTGAATGTGTGGGCAATTGGGCGTGACCCTAAAACGTGGCATGATGCATTGAAGTTCAAGCCAGAAAGATTCTTGGATCATGACAAGTTTGTGGACTACAAGGGACAACATTTTAAATTCATACCATTTGGTTCAGGTCGAAGGATGTGTCCCGCCGTACCGCTTGCCTCAAGGGTCCTCCCAATGGCTTTGGGTTCCATTTTGCATAAGTTTGATTGGATTTTGGGTGATGGGATTAAGGCGCATGAGATGGACATGAGCGAAAGAATGGGGATAACTCTTAGGAAATCTATTCCCTTAAAGGCAATACCCATACCATGCAATGGATTTATATGATTATACATCTCATATAAAAAAGAAATAAAAAATATTCTGTTGAGAATAAAAGAAATCAACATGTTGAAATGATTCTAAGCAAAATGCTTTATTGTGTATGTAGTGTTGAAAAAGAAAAAAAAAGAATAAAAAAAGGTGAGTACTGTAACAATCTGTAAGTAAAATGTTCTATAATATATTTGAAGGATTGTTTATGAGCTCAATGATTTTGTCTAACGATTTACCCATCATAAGGAAGATTTAGGGAAAAACAAACATGATGAAAATGCATTGCAAGAAAACAATATGTTAAGGAGGACAGAGATCCTCGCTATAGACCATAATTTCCTCCGTGTAGCTCCTAAGCGAGTATTTTAGACAATGTAAGTGATGTGCTTATTGGTTCATGTCTATATCTTAGAAAGACCTCGCTGAAACGTTGGTCACTCTAGGTTGATTTTTTGCGAGGACATGTCCTTGGCATAGATTAACATAATAAATATGAAAACAATGCCAACTTCGAGAAAATGTCCTTATATTAGTATTTTAATAGATTTTATTTTCACTACATATGGCGAGGACGTGTCTCTCATGTAGGCACTAGTCTGAAGTTCATTTTAGTTCCTATAGAAAAGACATGTGTGTCATTATAGGTACAAACAAAATTTCTATTTTGTATAATTATATTTTTTTCAGAAATATATAAAATTGCAATACAAAAAATCCATAAAAATCTAAAATTTCCAAAATTGTATAAATTACAAAACAAAAGTCCAATATCCAAAATATGATCAAGACTTTCTACATACAAAAAATTAAAAGGATCTAAACAACATGTCATTTGAAAAAATGAATCGGAGATACAACCAAAAGGAAAACTTATCAAGAAAAGTCTTCAAACTTTATTTATATAGATATCTATTGGTACGAGTGCAATTATTTCTATCGAGCCTGCACATATGTCAAACTGCTCACTACTCCAAATCCTCCCAATGGATAAACTTACTGGACTGAACTATCTCGATTGGATACGTACGAAAAGAATTCTCTTAGTTATGAGAAGAAAGAGTACCTTCTATATGATAATATCCTCGAGACTCTCATAGAGGATGATATTATTGAAGAATGACAAATTATAGTTGTCTTGATGTTCCATTTCTAAAAATGAAATTATACATTGAATTCGTACATTGAAAAATTATAGTGTCTTGATGTTCCATTTCCTGATGAGTTGGCTACAGATATAGTGCTCAACTCGTTGACTGGTTTGTATCATCCATTCACCCCGAACTATAATATAAACAACTTGGAAAAGACATTGATAGATACTACATGGAATTTGAAAATTGTCGAGGCAAGTATTGTTACATCCTCATATCGTCTACTATATTGCTCTAGTTCTGGACATTATGGAGGGTGGTGTCAAAAGGAAGAAGACCTCTTATCTAAAAGGGGAGGTAAATGGCCAGGTTGGACAGTCCAACCCTAACCCTAAGATGGTCGACTTTGACATACCACCCATTAGTGACCCTATTAAGGCCATCTGCTTCTACTTCTAACAAAAGGGACATTAGAAATGCAGTTGTCCAACGTACCTGGAGGAAATGAAGAAAAACAAGGCCAATAAGATTGGCACCTTAGATATTTTTATGGTCAAACTTTAGAGTGCTTCAACTTCTGATTCTTGGATCCTTGACACAATATATGGTACTTACATTTTCTTTGATGTGCATGGACTAAAACAAAGTACGAAGCTAAGGCATGACGATCTTGACTTACTCATTGGAATCAAGAGCAAGATTGTTGTTACGAGAATTAATTATTACTAGCTTGTTATATGTAGTAGTTTTTCAATTAATTTGTTAGATTGTTGCTATTCGCCTTATATGGAAAAAATATTATTTCTTTTCATGCATTATATCATGATGGATTTTAGTTTTTATTTTATAAGGGAAGTATTCTAGTTTTCAAAAATGATAATCTTTACTTTAAGGATAATCCATGAAATGAAATTATGAAACCATTATAGGGTATAAGAAAGAATGAAAACTTAATCTTAAATGTCGATTCTTCCAAATATCATTTGGATAAATCGTGTCTGTGGTATTGTTGACATGGCCATATAAATAAGAAGTGGATCTCCAAGCTCCAGTCAGATGGGATCTCAGTAATCATTTCACTAGATTCAGATGGTGGATGCGAATTTTTCTTACTTGGCAAGATGAAAAAGGTGTCATCCCACATAAATGTGAAAGAGGAAAAGATATGTTGGACCTCACTCATACAAATGTATGTGTACTATTCAGATCTGCCACGCAACATGTTGAGAGATACTTCATCATGTTTATTTATGATTATCGTTGATATGTATATGTTTATTTGATTAAATATAAGTTTCAAACCTTTAAGGTGCTTAAGACATTCCAAAGAGAAGTAGAGAATCAATTGGACAAGAATATTAAGATTCTTCGATCTGATCGAGGTGCAGAACATAGAAACTGTGGAAAAGTTTCACAGCTAGCTCCACCTGTAACATCGTAGCATAATTGTGTGTCTGAGAGGATAAATTAAAATTTATTAGATATGATTCGATATGTGATGACTCGTGCTAAACTTCTGATCAGTTTCTGGGGTTCTATTCTAGAGACCTTTGCATATGTCCTAATCTTGTACCAACCAAGAAGGTTCAAGGACACCTTTTCAAAATATTGAAAGGGAATCATCCTTGTCTAGCACATATCAAAGTACGGGGATGAGGATTTTGTTTTCGTGAAGTGCTCAACAACTTAGAACCAAGATCTAAGAGGTGTTACTTCATTGGATATCCTAACAATTCCTTTGGATATTTGTTTTACAAAACCTCTAAGAAGAAATTGTTTGTTGCTCGAAGGATAGTCTTCTAAGAGAGGGACCAGATATATCAAGGAACTAGTAGGAGCCAAATTGATCGTGATGAGATTCAAGAGTAAAAAACATTAAGAACCTAAAGTTGGCCTAAGCATTCATCCATAGGTCGATATACATATTGAGGAATCTAACTTACCTCCACCTCCTCCTCGAAGATTTGATAGGAAGCATCGTGCACCTAATTTTTTATGGTTTCCATATCACTGAGGGAGATAACACACTACTTGGAGATTATGAGCCAACCAACTATCAATAAGCCATGATAGGCCTATAGGCTGCTAAATGACAAGAGGATATGGAGTGGGAGATTTAATGTAACACCTATGTTCCATATTGGTTAAGCTTACTTGCATCAAGGACGAAGAAGGAGTTTTTGGAGAATACTCCATGCCACAACATGGCCAAAGAGGCCACAACATGGCAATAATTGTTTAATCGCGTGACAGCTGATTGTAATTTATGGACCACTACGGCGTGACAGCTGATCAGGCCCAATCCCATGTCTCTTTTAGGGTTCCCTTCGTATTTAAACCCCTCTAAACCCATTTTAGGGTTCATTATTAGCCTCCAAGCCCCCTTTCACCTTAGAAAACCCTAGCCTTCATTCCTTGTTTGGTTCTTGAGCTTCTTGGAGCTTTCTTGGCTTAAAGAAGAAGAGAAGAAGAAGAAGAAGAAGAAGAAGAAGAAGAAGAAGAAGAAGAAGAATAAGGTAATCTTTGGTGGAGCATGCAAGGAATCAACATTATCATCTCCTCACATTGTCTCTAGACCTTTATAAGTGTCCATGCTCCTTGCTTTATTACTTTTCGTGGTTAGATCTATAATTTTGTCCCTTGTTATGCATGTTGGGATGTTTGGAAGGAAGGAATTCATAAAGTTGGCAACTTTATGACTCTCCTGGATCTCAAGAGTATTATATGTTATGGATCTCGTCTTTCATGGAAGTTCTTATCATTTACTTAAGCCCTGGTCTTTACAACTCATTTTTGACCTAAAATGGATCTTAGACATGTATTGGACATACATGTCTATAAAGCTTCCACCTTTATGTTAGATCTGGTATTATAAACCCTTCTGGAGTAGTTGGGTTAAGGACTTTTTTTGGATTAAGTGCTTAATGGTTAAGACCTTATGAGTTTTGGCTTTATTTGGGCCTAGGGTTAGAGATCTTGATATCTTTGGGTGTCTTAATGGATAAAGTTGGAAACTTTTTCCATTTAGACTATAATATGGATTAGATATGAGCTTTAGAGCTCTTGGAATTGAAGAAAGTAGCCTAACTCATTAAGTTGCTGGAAACCCAGCGCCCACGGCATGGCCATAGGCGCCACAACGTGGCGACCTGGTTTATTGAGGGCCACGATGTGGCTGGTGGCTAAAGTCAACTCTGTCCGTTGACTATGACTGTGGACTTTTGGCATGGTTTGAATTCTGGTCAATCTCTATTTTTTAGAAGGTAGACTTAGAGTTTGTCTTGTGTGGGTTGTTAGGAGGTGTTTAGCACCCATCTTTTGGCGGTGAGAGCTGATGGTTGTGATTGGTGCGGCGTTGCGGGAGGTTTTAGTCATCATTGTGATTTAGGTGAGTCTCCTCACTATACTCGGGGGTCGAAGGCACCAATGTTGGCCCACTGGTTTATGTTATATAGGAAAACCAAGGGCTTGGCCTCTGTCATTATATGAAAGACTCGAAGGTGGATCCCGACAAATTATATGCAAGGCCATGGACCAAACCCTGGCATATATGCAATATGCTAGTTTTCTTTGTGATACTTGCATGGAAGACCAGGAGGTGGCTCTTGGAATTTGTCTGTAAGACCCAACATTTTGGCCCCCGGCCTGGCAAGGAAAGACCATGATACGGCTCATGGCATAATGGCAAGACTATTGTTAGCACATAGCTATCCTTATTGTATGTATGGTATCTGGTATTTTGGGAACTCACTAAGCTTTATGATGATAGTTTTATGTTTATGGTTTCAGGTACTTATGGTACGAAAGGGAAGGGCCCTATGTGACTGAACAACATCCCCCAGAGTTTTCCACATTGGCAATTTATGTTCTTTACTCTGATGCTTAAATAAATACTCCCTCCGTCCCAAAATTATTGTCCAC